TGAACGCGCTAATCTCCGTAACTACAAGTCTGATTTGAATAATTCTTTTTGTGTTGTATAGCGCATTTATCGAGGATGGCTATAGGCTATAAAACATCACGCTATGACCAATAAGAGCTGAGCAGAGCGTGTGAAACCGCGCGGAAGTAGCTAGTATACAAATAAAAACACACTTTATACTACAAATTGATGTCGCGGAGAACCTAACGGGTAACCGGGGCTCCGGCTCGACGTGCAAGAGAAGGAACGGAGTGGTTTTTAGTCAGTAAGAGTCTGACACTCCCTCTCGCCTCACCCAGGCGGGAGCAGTCATTCGATGAATTACCCACCGTAAAAAAAAATACTACAAATTGATTGATAAATTTATTACCAACGTCGCACCTAATCGTGACCAAATATATATGTGTAGTCATGTCACAATATGAGTCATAGTTAGGGTTGCCACCTTTTATTTTGGTATTTAAAGTACATTGAAGATTATAGGTAAGAAAAAAGTACACAGTACAAAAATAAAGTACAATTTATTCTGATTTAGTATTATATTTAAAAATATACTTTTTATTGCTTTTTGCAGTTTGTATTAAATTAGTATCTTTACTAAACAATTGCATTGTAATACTAAATAATGGGGATGATGACAGGGTATGAAAATTAAAAATATAATTAGTCCGTAAGTTAGGTAATGAAAAAATATTAGACACGTATTTTTTTATTTTGTCGTATAATAAAACAATACTTAGATAAAACGAATCAAAGTTTAGGAGTGGGGGCTAAAACGTCATTTCTTAGTATAAAATGTACTGAGACGTGACGTCACGCGACATTTCAAATCAATATATCTTCGAAACTATTCGTTTCTGTGAGAAAATAAAAAATACGTGTCTAATGTTTTTAAATAATCTATCAGACGGACATTAAAATAAAAATTAGTCGTCTACCCTATTGCATCTTTACCAGAAATTGTCTAAGTGACGCTGGCAAGTGGCGAAATCGATTCAACATAAGTCGATAAATATCGATATCGAATTTTGCAAAAATAAAGTATTTTCGTGTACTTTATTATTCTTATAAAGTATTTTTTTTTAAGGGGGGAAAATCATCGAATGACTGCTCCCGCCTGGGTGAGGCGGAAGGGAGTGTCAGACTCTTACTGACTAAAAACCACCCCGTTCCTCCTCCTGCACGTCGAGCCGGAGCCCCGGTTACCCGTTAGGTTCTCCGCGACATTCTTATATCGTATAGAGTACAATTACCTTAAATAACGTACAATACTTTATTATAAAGTACGGGTGGCAACCCTAGTCATAGTCGTCATAGTTCGAGTAATAACATATCAGATTGTGACATAAAAGAAATGTACTGGCTTGGTATCGAATATCCCTGACATTGACATTTAGTTTTGCGATGCGAAATGTATGCGAATGAACTTTTTTTTATAACGTCATCACTTTTTTTTCACTAAAACATGTACATAGTATACATACATATTTCAACAGCTATCTATATATATACCCACTGTTGATCAAAGGCCTCTTCTTACACGGAGAAGATTTGAGCATTAATCACCACGCTTGCTCAATGCGGGTTGGCGATTTCAAAGTTATAATTAGAAATTATAAGCCCAGATTTCCTCACGATGTTTTCGTTCACCGTTTGTCAGTGGTGTCTAAATAATCTTAGAAAGTACATATAGCTCGGAAAAAGTCACATTGGTATTTACCGTTGGTAGGTTTCGGAGCAGACTCTCATGCATAAGAAGCGGGTATCTTAAACCTCCGGGCCACCACGGTATTTTTTTGATTAAAAATGTATGTTAAATACCTACCTTACATCACTACATAGTATAAAACAAAGTCGCTATCCGCCGTCTGTCTGTCCCTATGTATGCTTAGATCTTTAAAACTACGAAACGGATTTTGAAGCGGTTTTTTTACTAGATAGTGTGATTCTTAAGGAATGTTTATATGTAATTTAATACATGCATATTGCACCCGTTTGAAGCCGGGGCGGGTCGCTAGTATATCATGTTATGTAGAATGTAGGAAATAACAACTTAATAACACATATCCGACATGGGGAAATTAGGACCTTGACATTAACACAAGACATTATCTTTTTATTTATGACGTCAATACCGTTCAAAGAAAGTAAGACAAGTGTTTTCCTAATAAAGGGTTTAATTTTTAATAACATATTTAAGAACAGATAATAAGAAATTAGTTTAGAAATTAGTCAGGCGGGAGCAGTCATTTGATGATTTTCCTATTAATCAAACATTAAAAATTATCCTAGATAATGGTCTGGAATGACCCGTAAGCTACTTTTATAGCACGGGGATGCGGGCGATGCCGCTGGCAGAAGCTAGTTGAGACTGCACGGTTGGTGCGGTGACTGGGGCAGTCGGCTGCCGCGCAACGTGTAGTGGGTTAGATTCCCGCAAGAAACTATTCTTTGTATGATCTACAGCAAGTTATTGTTTCGGTCTGGGTGTCATGAGTATGTGATATTGTATGTTTGTAAACGCACCCACGGCACAGGAAACCTTAGCTTTTTTATTATTGTTTATAAATGATAAGAATAAATGTTGAATTTACCTCATAACGAAATATTTTAATGCATTATTTATGCAGAATACTAGTGTTAATAGGACCATTAAATTATTGAACAAAATAAACTTTTTTGATTTAGAATTTATTGATGTTTTTAGAGACAATAAAACTTTGTTTTGTTTTAAATAAGTAACATAACATCATAACATCATGCAGTCGAGAGGAAGGGTGCCCAAAAAACAGGCAATATCGCCTCGTTGTTTATAAATCACAATCACAATATTAATCATAAAAACAAACCCAAATAAATAGTACGTGACTTGAACTATCTGTACAAAAATAATTAAATATTTAATCAAAAATTAGTAATCTACAATGAGTATTAATCAAATATTAGTCTTTTGTAAATACAACATTAGTCTCATTGTAATAGAATAACGACTCATTAGAGTATTGGTAACTTGGTTATCATTATAACCAAATAACATAATAATCACGTTCACTCTATGAATACTCTTATTAGAAGCAAATAAATGGAGCTACTAGCATTTTTTCTTTATCAATTCTTGATAAATAACATAACATAACATCACGCCTTTTATCCCCGAAGGGGTAGACAGAGGAGCACATTATGCCACTGTACAATGTAACACCCACTTTTCACTACTTATGTTATGAGTCCCATGTAATAGGGGTGAGCCTATTGCCATATACCGGGCACAATTCCAGACTATGTGCTACTGTGATTTTTTTTAAATCCAGTAATACTTTGCCCGACCCGGGAATCAGAGACCCCTTGCCCGGCAGTCGCACTTACGACCACTCGACCAATGAGGCAGTCTTGATAAGTAATTTCTATAAAAAGACGGCATTTGTTGTAAAAGGTACACTGAAAACTTAGGGTGGGAGACGCCTCGTGTTTTGGTCGGCTCAACTGTGTTAATTTCACGGCTTCACTGGAAACTGGCGTGAAACAATACCTGGGTCTATCGGATGGAACATAGGTACTTTTTTTAAAAGAGTATCGAATGGAGTTTTTTGTTTGTTCTTCTCCATTCGAATCTACATTTTGGAATGAGCACCTAGCTTCACCTAGCTTCACTGACGGACTGGCTGACAGACTATTATTTATTTTGTATTTGTTGACGTTTCAAAAGTACGAAAATATGGTTTAATTGAAATAAATGCTTTGACTTTGATTTTGAAATGAGTGACTCATAACTTCTACCACAGTAACCCATACATGTGTTCTTACTGAGAATAATTCATGGTTTTTCCTGTTTTATCTCCCCGTGTTTACCGGAGAATTTTACTATTATAAGAACCGTATTTGATTTATTACCGAAGTCGGTCCAGCCGCTAGTAAATATGTAGTATATATATAGTATATATAGTACATAACCAACAATTATAAAATAGGGATTAAAACCTTAATATTAAAAACAAATCAATTCGATTTATTACTTTGTTATGACTAAAGGACTTGTAAATATTAAAGCATAAAGGCACGAAGGTGCTAATTGCCATTACAATACATACATACAAGGTCAGCCGGCAACGCACCTATGACTCCTCTGGTGTTGCGGGTGTCCATGGACAGCGGTGATCGCTTACCATCATCCGTCTGCTTGTTTGCCTCCTATTGCATAAAAAAGAGGTAGTTATTAAATTGACATCTTAATCGCACTAAGATAAAACTTTTAATATAATTAACCATCCAGGATATAAACCCAGGTAATATTTAGTGATGTCAGAGTAGAATATCTACATTCAATTTGTCACTATCACCACTCTAGCCCGTAAACTTCTCCGGGGCTCCGTATCGGCACCAGCCCTATTGGACCCCATTCATGGTAGTTTGTTGGCTCTTTGAGGCGTGCGGATCGCAACGTGCCGTACGCCCGGGTCTGATTCTTTCCTTATTTCGGAAAGCCATTTGATGACTTGCACCCCTTAAAAACAAATCCCCGCTCTAGCCAGCTGTCGCAATATCTGATTACATAACATATATAACTGTATAAAGTATTACTGGGTTTAAAAAAATCTCAGTAGTAGCACGTAGTCTGGAATTATGCCCGGTATATGGCAACAGGCTCACTCCCTATTACATGTAACTTATAACATAAATAGTGAGAAGTGGATGTAACAATGTATAGTGGCATTAAGTGCTTTAATGTGCACCTGTACCTACCCTACCGGGGATAAAAGGCGCGATATTATGTTATGCTTTTAAAAATCTTCAATTCAACGAGCATGGGTGATTTTATGAAACCGCTGTAATATAGACGAGGCCCATAGTCCAGTAGAGGATCCCTTGTTAACAAGGGTTGATGTTAAAAGAAAGGATAAAAATCAGCATAATCATCATCATAGAACCACCTCTAAACCTCTGACCTCTCAATCATTTGATTTGCACCAGAACCGTATAAATAATAAATGATTAAATCCATTAAAAAAACTGGTTTACATACGTCATCGTGAACACGACTGCTACGCAGCGTTCGGTTGCGAAAATTTATATAAGCCTGCGACACACCGGAGATCTCTTTAGATATAAGTAAACTGCAGAACTGAGTGCATCGTGCATGCGTTTCCTTTTTTAGAAAAGCGCGCGTAATTCAAATCAATACAATAATCCATTCTGAATAACCGAACTGGTACTTCGTTAATAACAAGTGCGGACGGGAATGTGACTGTTGTGTTATTCATAAATGTTATGTGTCTAATCGTTTATTTATAGCACATTTTGAAATTTTATGAATTAATTCATATTATTTAGTTTTTTTTATTAGAACGTTCATTGGTTGTGTGACATTGAAAAGGAGCTGACGTTGGTTTACGACGTTTAAATCGCAGTGTTTATTATAAATATATTATATAAAAAGAGTCAAAACAATTTATTGTGTGTATTTTATTGGATATTCAAAATGAAGGATTTGGTGAAGATTTGGAACAATGTGACCGGGAGGAGATATTCGTCAGTGAACACTAGTGAATTAAATGATTTTAATAAACAAAGGCGATCGGAAATTGACAATTTTGAAGCGAATTTAGCCGAGTGTGAAATCTTGAATAACAAATTTAACGATGATTTGGAGTTTAACGATAAGAAAAATGCTATAATTAATCGACTTTTCGAGAGAAGAAAGAAGGGACAAATCGGGAGACAACCGAAATGTAAGTACTTTGAATTTTTTATCCTTATGTTTAGGTTTTTTTATATAATGCCAGGTGATTATACCATTATCGCAATGTTTTTAATAATATACACCTAGAAAAGTAATTAAGTGTATTTAATTACAAAAAGAATGCCGTAATTATTGTAAATACCATGTAATTGTTCGAAAAACCGTCCGTGTGAATAAAACTATTGTTAGTTTTTCGAAAAATAGTCGTTATTTTTTAATTTTTCTTTTGTTCTTTTTACTGTTGGCAACTGTAGAAAATTTTTAGCTCGACTTTTTCTTGCTTAGCGACTATTTTCTACAGCCTTAAATTGACCTATAGGTATTGGTATACTATGATTTATCGTAATTATCTCGCGATTACATGGTCCGATTTTTGTAAATATTTCTTTTCACTATATCCACCCAAAGGTTGTCTGATAGAAATCACTATAGGTGATAAGACCTCCTTTGTGCCGATTATTATTTTTCTTTATGTTTGTCATTTCCTTTTCTGTATGTACTATATTATTAATGGTGTACAATAAAGTTATATTCTATTCTATTCTATTTTTATGCGGTTTTCTAAAAATTTGTTTTTACTATTTGGAACAGGTTTTATATATAAACCGATTTCAAAGACATGAGGTTGAAGTCGTTTCTTTTTTAATTATATTTTTTAAATTTAGTGATTGTCTTTTTAAATTTTTCAACAATTTATTGATTTAAATTAGCCTGTCGCAATGTGAATTGTATGTATGTATAAGTAATGCTTGGAATAATTTTCTTTAAATTATATATATATATAATATACTAATGCATGATTAGTTACCTAATCGATGCTTCTTTTCGAATCTACCCTTGGCCTGATTTTAATAAAAAAGCAACTTTTGAACTGTTTAAGTGAAAAGTTGTATCTATAAGATTCATTTTTGAAAATTTTATCTTTGAAATAAATATGAATGAATTCTATTATTAATGTAAGTGTGTGTGTATTAAATTAAATAAACTCTTTGACTTTGAATTTGATGATTTATGGTATTTTAAATAACGCGTAAAATCCACGTTGTAGCAATTTATAATTTTGTTAAGATTAATCGTAAGTAATCAATAATTTCTGTTATCCTAAGCATTATTTTGTATAACATTGTAATTTATACTAATAGCACTTACAAACTAATAAACTTTAAGTGTATAATTAATTAGGTATATTTAGTAGATATATATACAAATCCATCAGTTTATAAAAAATCCAATCACAATATTTTTTCCGGCTTTTGGGGATTATTATATATTAATAACGGACTAAATTGAGGAAAATTAGAGTGTTTATTAACGGAAAATATTATGCAAATTATACGGTAGGTGTTCGAATTAAAATCACAAAGACGTTTTACTTTTTTCAAAATAAGGAAAAATAATTAAATAATATACGCACGCGATCGTAATATACTTAATAACACACATAACATCACGCCTTTTATCCCCGAAGGGGTAGGCAGAGGTGCACATTATGCTTGTACCTACAATGTAACACCCACTTTTCACTATTTATGTTATGAGTCCCATGTAATAGGGGTTGAGCCTATTGCCATATACCGGGCACAATTCCAGACTTCGTGCTACTACTGAGAATTTTTAAAAACCCAGTAGTACTTTGCCCGACCCGGGAATCAAACCCGAGACCCCTTGCCCGGCAGTCGCACTTGCGACCACTCGGCCAACGATGCAGTCGATACTTAATATAAATTGTTTTTTGAATACCGATACCTAATATTTCACACTTGTTTTTTAAAACAAAATGGAGACTAATATTCTCGTGAACTTTAAAAATGCATAAATTGATCGAAATAAATTAATTAGTCTTATCCAGTCTAGAATTATAAGTTCAATAATGTGGAATTTAAATACAACGGAAATGTCTCATTTGTATATATATGTGGAGGTATATATGTGGAGGTCTCTCCTATACGGGGTTGACCCGGGGAAAATAGGCACCGCGTCCCGCGACCCATATATTATTAAAGCATTATTTTTATATAATAATACCTACTGATACCTAAATTTTATATAATAATAATAATAATGTCTTATGGCCAATGAGGCAGTCATTATAATGATGTCTTAATGACTGCTTCATTGGCCGACTGGTCGAATGTGCGACTGCCGGGCAAGGAGTCTCGGGTTCGATTCACGGGTCGGGCAAAGTATTACTGGGTTTGTACTAGCACGGAGTATGGAATTGTGCCCGGTATATGGCAATAGGCTCACCCCCTATTACATGGGACTCATAAAATAAATAGTGAAAAGTGGGTGTTACATTGGACAGTGGCCTAATGTGCACCTCTGCCTACCCCTTCGGGGATAAAAGACGTGATGTTATGTTATGTAATATTAATAATGTGTAAATCTTATTTTATATAATAATGACAAATAGAAACCTAAGAGGAAAGATTTTTGATTGTTTTCCGGGAATATAAAATTTTTTAAGCACGCGGTCAACAAAATAAACTACAGCAAAAGAAATACTAACAACCTTTGACTTCCTACCATAAAATTAAAATAGATCGATCTAGAAATATCTAGGACGAAAGTTCTAGGCAGTTTTCGTATGTTGAATTATTTCTATATTAATTTACTTAATCAACAAAACAGAAATAAATAAATTAGATTACATTAATATACATCTACATTTGAGAAAAAATAAGAATAAAAAAACTGTACCACTGTATCTACAATGTAACACCAACTTTTCACTATTTATGTTATGAGTCCTATGTAAAAGGGGGATATGTCTATTGCCATATACCGGGCACAAATCCTGACTCCGTCCTACCACTGAGATTTTTTTAACACCCAGTAATATTTTTCCTGACCCGGGAATCGAACCCGAGACCTCTTGCCTGGTAGTTGCACTTGCGACCACTCGGCCCACGAGGTAGTCACATTTTATCAGTAAAAACAATCATAAATAAATACATACATGAACAAGTATTGGGAAACAAAGAACGAATTAAGAAAATATTCCATCGAGGTTGTTTTCGTAAATCTATGGAACATTCTCGAAGATCCCCAGTCGGATTTTTCGATACGTCATCATTCATAGTTTTTTGTACGATTATATTATTAATATTTTGATATTAGCTTAGATAAACTCTTCCGACTCGTGAGTATTAATAAATTAGTAATCATATTTTAGACAGATAGGTACAATTATGATTAACAGGATTTTAATTAGTAAATGTTTGATTTATTTATTTTTTATAAACATATAAACTTCACGGTTGTCGCGGAGAACCTAACGGGTTACCGGGGCTTCGGCTCGACGTGCAGGAGAAGGAACAGGGTGGATTTTAGTCAGTAAGAGTCTGACACTCCCTCCCGCCTCACCCAGATGGGAGCAGTCATTCCATGATTTTCCCCCAGTAAAAAAACTGCACTGTTGGCGCGGTGGCTGGGTAACTGGCTTCCACGCAACGTTTCACGGGTTCTATTTCACCACGAAACAACTCTGTGTGATCCACAAATTGTTGTTCCGGGTCTGGGTACGTGCTACTGCTAAGATTTTTTAAAACCTAGTAATACTTTGCCCGACCCGGGAATCTAACCCGAGACCTCTTGCCCGGCAGTCGCACTTGCGACCACTCGGCGGACGAGGCAGTCTACTTTCGTATTTATAATAATAAAAAGATCACCCCTACTCCTACGGGTGTTGCAAAATCTGATCAACTTCTAAATCCACGATTACGAAAAATCTAAAACATCATCACACAAAAGTTGTCTCTAAACATCGGAAATAAGGTCTAAAATGGAGTAAGTGGAGAGCGGTCACCTGGGAATCGGCAGTTATGGTATTACAACATTAAAATTTAATAATCAGTTTGAATACCAGGGTCAAGTCCATACATTGACTTATCCATTCACTCGGGTAGCATTAGAGTACCATTTCTTTACCAAGGTTGCCGGTAAGAAAAAGCGGTAGTAGATTTTGAAGATGTTTTAATTCGGAATCTGGAATTGTTCCTGATGTATACCTATGTATGTCAATAGATTCATCCTTTATTATAATATGAATCATGACATATTATAATATAATATAATATAACTACTGACCCGCAATATGCATGTAGGTACTATACAAATAATTCTTCCTTAAAAATCACTCTATCTATAAAAAAAAACCGCATCAAAATCCGTTGCGTAGTTTTAAAGATCTAAGCATACATAGGGACAGACAGACGGCGGATAGCGACTTTGTTTTATACTATGAATACGTCAAGCTTCCTCATGCGAACCGCTAAGAAATGGAATTCCCCAATCTTTCCAATTCCTGAATCCCCAACGATCCTCAAACTCCTAATCCCCAAAAGGCCGGTAACGCACTTGTAACGCCTCTGGTGTTCCAGGTGTCCATGGGCGACGCCGATTGCTTTACCATCAGGTGATACGTCTGCTCGTTTACCGGCTTATGCCATAAAAAAATCATTGTTTATACCTTTGTCTTTTTTTTTGGGAATAAAAAGTGTGATATGATTTTATGTATCATCAAAATAACATCTACGGTCGTTAAAATTTATGGCAAGTATGAAATTTAAATGAAAATTTATTGACTCGTCTCTTGAATACAAAAAAAAAAAACACTTAAATACTAGAAACGAAAACAGATTATAGTAATTTTTCTTGACATCAGTATTTAATAGATTTTTAGACATAGATTAGTAACAAATTGATAGATCTGATAGGTACTCAATTTGTCTATTTAGTTTTTAACCGCAAATTGCGGTTTTGAGGCTTGAGGTCAGAGGTTTGGACCCAGATAAGACTGAGCATGGCTTTGTTTTTAAAAAACTTCAATATATTAATCAGGTCTTGAAATCATACTCTGGAAACCTGATTTTTTATTGTAGGTTTTTCACTTATCGTCATCAACAGCCTATAAGTAGCCACTGTTGACCAAAAGCCCCTTCTCACACGAAAAAGGTTTGAGCATTAATTACCACACTTGCTCAATGCGTGTTAGTGATTTCAAACTTATAATTAGAAATTATAAGCCCAGGTTTCCTGTTTTCCTTCACAATTTGTCTGTGGTGTCTAGACAATCATAGAAAGTACATATAACTCGGAAAAAATGACATTGCTACTTGCTGTTGGTAGGTTTCGGACCCACACTCTCATGCATGAGAAGCGCCCACCGGGTCACCACGACATTTTTGTATCATACATAGGATTAATTGTGATGACTATATAAAATGAGTTTCATCCATATACCTACATATCCTACCTATATATCTACTCATAATTACAGGGATTAACATAATACTTGTTATTTATATTTTACATAACATTAGGAATGTTATTCACTAAAGGGTACTTGAAAAATAACGATTATTTATTTTCGATTACTAATAGGGTAGATGCCTAATTTTTATTGTAAGTCCGTCTGGTAGATTATTTTAAATCATTAGACATCATTAGGAAAGGGGGTGAGGGTAATTGGGCATCCGGTAACTTCACTCACACAACGAAACACAACACAAGCGTTGTTTCACGTCCGTTTTCTGCTCGGTCGTGGTATCACTCCGGTTGAGCCGGCCCATTCATGCCGAAGCATGGCTCTCCCACACTTAAGTCATAACACATTATATTAACTATAATATTCACTAATCAATCTTACTGTTAAAACTTCATCTTTCTAATTAAACGGGATTTTGAATCTAGATGTTTCTACCAATACCTATGGTGTTTTTACCGCACGTCTGTCTAATCAACTTAACCAACTTACAACTCTATAGCCTCAACGTTACAGTTGAAAATGCATTGAGAGAATTGATCTAAATAGTATACCTTGATGTGCATGTATCTTATTAGCTTAATGGACTTTCAACTCTATAGCCAGAGAATGAAAGTTTCAAATGTATTGTGGGAATGAATGGTACACCTTGATATGATATGAAATTACAGCTATGTATGAGTTACTTCCAGTCTGGGCCATGGGTTTTTACGTTGAACAGTGACTCTTAGTTACTGTTATGTAGTGTCAGATCAATCGATTATTAAGTACAGTAACAGCTTTTTATATGAGTACACTAGCTTTTACCCGCGGCTTCGCTCGCGTCACAAAAGGATAAAAGTAGCCTATGTGACATATACCACTACAACAATTCAAAGCAATCGGTTTAGAAGATACGGTGTGAAAGCGAAACAAACAAACAAACTCACTTTCCCGTTTACAATAGTAAGGATAATATGATTCAAAATTACGAGCAAAACATTGTTTTTTTTTGGAAAGGAAGGAAGGAAAAAATAATTTTCGCTAATGATCAAAACTCTAAAGAAAAACTTTATAGTTTATCATATCCGAAAATAGTTAATAAAATAGAAGCTTAGACTTCTTAAAAAATCTAGTTATAATAAAAAATTACATATCTAGTTGTAACGTAAGTATAATTAGTATACCATAATTATTACTAATCCAAAATAAATAATCGTTATTTAAAAGATGAATAAAATTAGTAATCACTATTTTAAATTGATATGTGCACATTAATAAATTAATTCAATATGTTTTTTTTAGAAATATAATTTATTAGTTAAAGTTCAAAAATATAATAATTATGCAATCACTTAATGTAGTATTTTGTTTAAAATTAATCGATAATCAGTAATTTGACATTTAGATTATTTTTTTAAATTCAGATTATTTTTTTACATTCACAATATTGTAGTGAATTTTTGTATCCAAAAATCAAAAGCTGAAAAGTGTTACAAATACAACTTATTAAATAAACACATAACATCACGCCTTTTATCACCGAAGGGGTAGGCAGAGGTGCACGTTATGCCACTGTACAATGTAACACCCACTTTTAATTATTAATGTTATGAGTCCCATGTAATAGGAGGTGAGCCTATTGCCATATACCGGGCACAATTCCAGACTCCGTGCTACTATTGACTTTGAGTATTTTTTAAAAACCCAGGAATACTTTGCCCGACTCGGGAATTGACCGGGAACCTGAGACCCCTTGTCCGGCAGTCGCACTTGCGACCACTAGTCCAACGAGGCAGTCAGTATTATTAGTTATCAGTTATTAAAATAATTATATAGCAATAGGCTCACCCCCTTTTACATGGGACTCATAACATGTTGTTATGTTATGTTATGTTGTGGGTCTTACTTCTATGTGCACCCCTGCCTACCCCTTCGGGGATAAAAAGGCGTGATGCTATGTTTATATAAAATAATTATAATACAAAAAAACATATGCTCCGGTAACAGCAGTTAGCACAAATCATTAATTTATCTTTTTATATAACTTTCTTCGAATTGCAGTAAGCATAATATTTACAATATGAAACTAAAAAATTGAAGATTGTCACGTATTTATAGAAATGTGGACAAGAAATTACGATCAAAACATCACGATTGTAACCATTTAGGTAATGAGTAGAGAAGTTATCAACAATGTACTCAGGTATATCATACAATATGTGTTCATGACAGAATACGCAAGTCACAAGTCACAAGCATCAGATCATTATTTTGTTACTTGTGTAAATTTTAAATGTTATATGTTTATGATGTACCGAAACTCCTCCGAATCACTACATAGTATAAAACAAAGTCGCTATCCGCCGTCTGTCTGTCCCTATGTATGCTTAGATCTTTAAAACTACGCAACGGATTTTGATGCGGTTTTCTTTAATACATAGAGTGATTCTTAAGGAAGTTTTATATGTATAATACATGAATATTGAACCCGTGCGATGCCGGCCGATGCTTACATACATAACATACATAACATCACGCCTTTTTATCCTCGAAGGGGTAGGCAGAGGTGCACATTACGGCACTTAATGCCACTGTACAATGTAACACCCACTTTTCACTATTTATGTTATGAGTCCATGTAATAGGGGTGAGTCTATTGCGATGCTTATAGTAAATAAATATGTAGAAGAGACTGTAACTACTATACTGAAGTTCTAAAAATAGTTACAACGATTGGTCTTTGCCAAATGATGATAATTTGATAATAAAATAGAATTAAACTTTAAATATGAAATAAAATGATTAGGAAAATACCAACTTTCTTCAGATGTTATAAATAAAAATAATATATAGTCATTCAATTAGAAAGCTGTTTGTTTGTAGAATAGAATGTTATAGAATTCAATAACAACCTTGGGGATTAACCCATGACGTGTTATATTCCACACTAACTTTCTGCCCGTGGCGTGTTATTCCATGGGTAGTGGGTACAATCCTTTATCTTGAATCACTCTATCTATTAATAAAATCCAAATCCGTTATATAACTTTTTTTATGGCATAAGCTGGTAAACGAGCAGACGGATCACCTGATGGTAAGCAATCGGCGTCGCCCATGGACACCCGGAACACCAGAGGCGTTACAAAATTGCGGTATCAGCCTTTTGGGGATTAGGAGTTTGAGGATCGTTGGGAATTTAGCGATTGGGGAGATTGGGGAAGGGGAGGGTAATTGGGCCTCCGGTAACCTCACTCACACGACGAAACACAACGCAATCGTTGCTTCACGTCGGTTTTCTGTGAGGCCGTGGTATCACTCCGGATGAGCCGGCCCATTCGTGCCGAAGCATGGCTCTCCCACACTTAATTAACACGTAATTTTAAAGATCTAAGCATACATACAGACAGATTGCGGAATGTGACTATGTTTTATACTTTATATGATGTTCATAGATATCATGAACAATAGGACTCGTGGATAAAAAAAAAACAAATAGGACTAAAAATTCAAACCAATAAAATGCTAATAACAAACTTCGACCGACCCGGATATCGAAGCCAATACCTCGTGATTGCTAGCGGTTTAACAACAAACGAGTTTGACGATATCCCTAATCTAGAAGCTTCTTTGTATGTTCATTTTAACGTTTCGAACTCCGAAACGGCTAAGCAGAATTGACGACATTTGCTTGTTGGATTTTGCTGGGAAGCTAACACTAAAATGATTTTTAAAATGCGGAAATTTAAATATTTTTCAAAGTCTTCAAGGTCTGAGTGAATAAGTTGCTTATGTAGACATAGTCCATCGTAGGATGCATTATTGTCTACCACTAGGCGAGATAATAGACAACTGTTGACCGATTTCCAATAAAAAAACTAATTGATTAATAATGTCTGCTGTGGATATATAATTATAAATAAATAGATACATCTTTTATTTGACTGGCTTGTTGGCTGAGCGGTTGCAAGTGTGACGGCCAACGGGTAAGGGGTCTTAATAATTCCCGGGTCGGGCAAAGAATTACTGGTTTTTTTCAAAAAATCGCAATAGTATCATGGAGTCTGGAAATGTGCCCGGTATATGGCAATTAGCTCACCACTATCACATGGGACTCATAACATAAATACTGAAAAGTGGGTGTTACATTGTAGAGTGGCTTTAAAAGCCGTAATGTGCCTCTCTGCCTACCCTTGAAGTTAAGTTATCTTTTATTTCACACCATCTTTCTTTGATCCATCGTTTTGTTAGTAACAATATTCCATATATAAAGTATAATCTACACATTGTTTTCACATTACTAGTCTACAATTTTAACTTAATAAAAGTTCCACTGGTCGTTACCAAGTGTCGAATTCTCATCCTAATGTTCAAAAACCGGTCATCTTAACCTCCGACATATCACGTCAAATGTTGTTTATAGAGAAGCTCTACAATAATCGGTTTATTTATCTGTCCTAAAACAACCGGGTTACACTTTGGGACTCCCGGCAGAAGTGAAAACTTAGTATTAATTACATTTAAATATTTTCATCATTAACAACTTTAACATCCTCATAAAGACAATCTATGCAGCCTGTGGATAATGATGATGTCGTTTGTCCATCTTTCGCGGCAAAACGGAGTGACGAATTGATGGTTTTTTTTAAGTGGCGATAGTTAAATAAAAGGATGGACAGTGACATGGGCTATTTACCGCCCAACGGGTGCGGGTCAGCTAGTAAAGTATAAACTACACATTATTTTTACATTACTAGTCCACAATTTTAACTTAAAAGAATTTCAACTAGTCGTTACCAAGTGTCGAATTCTCATCCTAATGTTCAGCGTCGGGGATCGCGGGACGATCTCCGGCCACCGTAAGCGCGGGCCTGCGGACGGCGAGTATGGGTGGCTCCCCGTCCGACCAGAAACAGACCCGAGCGTACGGCGCGTTGCGTTCCGCGCGCGCCTCAAAGATCCATCAGACCACCACAGATGGAGCCGAATAGGGCCGATGCCGATTCGGAGTCGCGGAGAACCTAACGGGTAACCGGGGCTCCGGCTCGACGTGCAGGATAAGGAACGGGGTGGTTTTTAGTCAGTAAGAGTCTGACACTCCCTCCCGCCTCACCCAGACGGGAGCAGTCATTCGATGATTTTCCCCCCTTAAAAAAAAACTCCTAATGTTCAAGAACCGGTCATATTAACCTCCGACATAGCACGGCTAACGTACATGTATGCATGTACGATATTAATTAATTATTATGTATCACAAAGTTATTTTTAGACACTTTAAAAGGGACAAGGAACCGGAAAGTAAACTAGTTTTTTTTAAATAACAAAAATGTAATAAATAATTCAAATGGAATCGATTACTAATTTTATTTAATATCAACTCTGTATATTGAAATGTTTAATCCATTAGTAATCTTAGTGTCTTTGTTCTTTTTCGATATTTAAATATTGAATTATGGTTACTGATTTTTTTGAATATTTTTCTATTTTTTTTTCAATATAATTATATTGATTTCCGGGTCGGGCAAAGTATTAATAATACTTTATAAGGATTAAATAGTAGTCGTAGCACCTATTACATGAGACTCATAACATAAATAGTGAAAAGAAATTGTTTGACAATCTTAATAGTGTTTGTTTTCGTGTCATTCATGTAACATCAGTTTTGGGCAGTTAATTATAACTATTATTACCTTAAAGAAATATTTGATACCTCTTTTATGAACATACAACTTGTGTTTTACAATCACTTGTCAGCGATTTGCGGGAGCGTTCGTTGACACGCCGTATTATAATTGAAATTAACCCATTTTCTTTCATCTTAATAATGGAAAATAAATTAATAAATACGATATTAGTGGTATGGATATTTACGATTATTTATTAATAAAGCCATTTGGATCAAATAATGTAAGATGTCAATAATAAATTAAAATCTTTTGTTATCATCATCAAAATTGTTTTTTAATTTATTTTTAATTGTTTCTGTTTAGTTTTAAGCCAATCGGGAATTACTTATGTAAGATTACTAATTATATAATAACTTTGTTTATTGACCGCAATCGTAATGGTGTAAACAAACTTGTTCGTCCGTTTGCTAGTTGTAAACTTCAAAATTATTTGTTTATTTTTAGTAGATTTTTTCTTTATTGTAAACCGAGGTTGTTGACTATTG